TCGTGGGAGAGGATCGATGCGATCGCCTAGACGACGGACCCCAGAACCTAGACAACAACTCGACGATGTGGAGAATCACTAAGATGATCACGATGCGCAACGTCATAGACGGACTGTGCCTGCGGGAGTGCGTGGCATCGGCGTGACCTGAAGATCGCGCGCGGCGCTGCAAGATCACGAGATTGAGATGGTGTATTGGCCCAAGGACGGGCACGCAGGGCGAGCGTAGTGGCCGATGGCATCACGTAAAAGACCCTGAGCCCCTTGCCGGCACGGGTCTCAGCGAGTGTTCCCTGCATGGTTAGATTTGCAGGCACGCAGAGAATCCAGTCGACGAGCGGTATATAGTCACGGCGATATAGGCAGAAACAGCGCGCTCTTGACGTGAAGCGTTGCAGGAACAGTGGTTCGCAGGACGGGCAGCAGTTAAATGAGCAAAAGTCTGGAACATGTTCCGCTCCACAAGTGCCATGAGCAAATGAAGTGACGCGAAGCATGTGCCACCCTATTGACGGCCAGCACCCGAAACGGAGGCAGGCCGAGAGGGGAATACGGATGGCGTGCGGATAGACTAGTGAAACGGCACTGGGGGAGGTATGTAATGGAGGCAGCTGGAGGCGATGGTGTACACGATAGCAAGTGGGTGAAGGAAATGAGAGTTTGGTAGCTGGGAGCATGGAGATGTGAAAAGCAATGGCATTGTCAGCGCGCGAGAGATGAGTGTGCATGCGTGCATCGAGTGGCTGCGTGTCAGGGCGACGGCGCGGTGGGTCAACGTCGTCGCGATGCAGGGCCGACTGGTGGTAGCGGACCCTATTGGCGAGCAGGGAGCATCCCCGGCCCACCTGAGGTTTCAGGAGGTGTAGGTTTAGCTATTCTTGCACGCGAGGCAGCATAGAACATCGCGACGCCCCAGACACTGCTCAGGGCCTGCAGTCCATCACTGATCCCTCGACGCTTGCTGTCGTATCCGCTCCTTCGCGCTGCTTTCATTCTTCATGGTGCCGATTGCATCCACGCCCTCCCAAAATACCCCCCAGACCACCCACCGCTCTTATCACGGCTGCTTTTCCCGCACGCGCTGCTCAGCCCCGTGTCTCCCGCATTCATCCCTCCAGGCGGCTTCGACGGCTTCTTTTGCCCGGTCGCGCGCATGACGGCCCAGCGTCATCAATCTTCCGCCGCACATTCCATGAACCACTAGCCCGCCTGCCACTTCCTTCACCATGGCAAACCGCACCCAACGCCCGGGCGGCCTCGACTTCCGCTCTCAGTCCTTCGACCCTCCCACCACCGCCAACTCGCTCACCTCTAACCACCTCGGCCTCGGAAACCTCGCCAGCGCCAGCATGAGCAATCTGTCCCTCGGCTCCGACCTGCCCAGCCCGCGCACCGGCGAAGCGCCGCCCGCTCTCTCCCCTCTGGACGCCCTCGCCCTCCAGGGCCGCCTGCTCGCGAAGCGCTTCGAGCAGCAGGACAAGACAGGCCGCCGCCTCAGTCGCCTCGCGCCCCTCACCATCCAGAACGAGTTCGGCAACCGCGGCGGCTACTTCTCGTCCCTCTCCAACTCGACCGTCAACTCGCCCAACGAAGATGCAGGCCCCGTCCGCTCCCCGCGCCCCGAGGCCTCGCCCCGCCAGGAGATATCGTCGGACAAGCGACACCAGTCCTACTACCCGCAGTTTGGCATGGACGAGCCCGAGCCCCAGTACGCCATTGGGCCGCTGCAGAGCCCCATGGCCACCATCGCCGAAGCCAGTCCTGCGACGCCTCCCCAGAGCTACTTCGACATCCCCAGGTCGCGCTCCCCCGATTCGGTAGAGCCACACATCGGACTGCGCGAGGCCACGCCCGTCAGTCCCCATCTCCCGGCCGCTCCTACCTCCCACATGTTCCTCAGCCCGCAGAGGAAGCGCTCTGGCGACTCGCAGCATTCCCAGCACTCGCAACAATCGCAGCCCCGCTCGGCACCTCGCTCCAACCTGCTCCCACCGCGCTCGTCCAGCTCCCTGCACTCGAACCGCTCACCGAGCATCCGCTCCGCCGCTGGCACATACGACGATGTCGAGGACATGTCTCTCAGCGGATCCTACGACTCCCTGCACCAGACGCGCAACCTGTCTCCCAGCTCCAGCCTATCGAGAGCCCAGTCTCCCTTCACGCCTGCCACCGGTCCTACCATGATTCCCCGATCACCGTCAGCTGCGTCCAACTACTCGGTCGATGGCGGCAGTCTCCCGCGCCCTGCCTACAACTTCTCAAGACCCAACTTCTCACGCCCCACAAGCCGGCAGAGCGTGCGTCCGTCATTGGACGTAAGGTCAGATGCCGGACCCTCGCGACAGCCGTCTGAGGAGAGCGTGAACATGAGGCCCTCCTTCGACGACCAGCTCCGCCGACAGGACTCTAACGATATCCCTACTGCTCATTACGCCAACGAGCAAGTCCACACTCCCGTTAGCATGGTAAGCGAGGACTTCCGCCGGTCCGGCGAGTTCGGCAACAACCCAGCCCCGTCCTACACATACACCAGGTTCAACCTCCCTCGCGGCAGGGCCGTCGACCGCAAGTCTGTCGGCATTGAGGACTTTTTCAAACGCGAGATCAAATGGGACCAGCCTGGAGGCCAGCCTAACCAGACTCAGGCGCGACCTCCTTCACCCGAATCACCGCCTCGTTCTTTCGACCAAACACGCCAGCAACAGCCACAAGCCAGGCGGGATGCCTCCTTCGACCACGGTACCCCGTCCCTCACATCCAGCAACAGCACTATCCGCGCGCGGACAGCCGGGTCTGTTGGGGAAGTCACAGCGCAGCAGCACTGCGACATGGGACTGGAGCTTCATGAAGCTGGTGAGCTACTCAAGTCTACCTATCATCTTCGTCTTGCAGCTCGCGCAGGTCTTCCAGAAGCCATGTTCTGGTATGGCCTCGCTTGCCGTCACGGCTGGGGCATGCGTGAGAACAAGTCCGAAGCATTGCAATGGCTACGCCGCGCCGTTGACTCCGGTCAGCTAGAAGTAGCCGACGATGAGGACCAATCCAAGCACGGGCAGCCGACAGACCTCACCAAGAAGAAGCGCCACCGCGCTCAATACGCTGTAGCCATCTACGAGCTTGGCAAATGCTACGGAAACGGCTGGGGTGCTCCTCAAGACAAGTCCCTCGCACTGCGATGCTACGAGATTGCTGGAAACTGGGGCGACGCCGATGCTCTCGTCGAAGCCGGCTACTGCTATGCCGAAGGCGTCGGCTGCAAGAAGAACATGAAGAAGGCAGCCAAGTTCTATCGTGCAGCCGAAGCCAAGGGCGTCAGCATGGTGGGCAACAGCTGGATCTACAAAGATAAATACATGGACGACGGATCCACCACCTCGGATGAGCGGTCCGTTCGCTCAGGTCGTTCCACCACCAAAGACCACTCCAAAGACAAGAAGGCTCGCGACAAAAGCAGGACTCGCACCATCTTTGGCCGCAAGAAGAGCGCGGCTGAACCTCTCCCTCCTATGGCTTGATCCCACCACCATCTCGCCTTGTACATGTGTCCACGAACCTTTCCTTTCACAATCTCTTCTCGCGCACGGCGTCTGGGTTTAAGCTTTGGAGGTCAAAACATTTTGCCTTTCGAATACCCCATATTAACGAAATCACCTTTGCCCGGCGCATAGGCTTGGCCGCTCTTACTCTTTACTTTGGCCACCCCGCGCTTCAGCGACATTACCTGTTTTGAACCACCGCCTTTTTGATCGAATATCTTCGACATGTCGATGTACCACCTACCTTTCCTTTTTCGTCTCTCCGGGCTCGGTTTTCCATTCGTTTCCTTTGTTTATACCATTGTGCGTTTGTGCGGTGTGCCCATGGGCCGCCATTTCCTTTCCTTTTCCTTATCTTGATTGGACTCTCGAGGAAGTTCATGTGTACGTAAAGTCTAATTTACCGGTACTGGTGTACCTGGGCTGGGCTAGGCTAGGGTTGGCAAGAGGAAAGCTCTCATCTCTGACGTTGGAAGACAGTGTCATTTCTCTATCTGGGTCACGGCTGCTTTCCATTTGGCAAGAAAAAGGGATTCGGGATTACTAAAGGCTGTGAATAGGGTGGTTTTTCCTCTGTTGATATCCCAGAGCGTAGCTAGCTAGCAAGCAAAGTCTCTTCCTTCATACCTGATGATGGGTGTGTGGAAGGGAGGAAATTGAAAGTTGAAGATGTATAACTACGCTTGCACTTTTGGCTGGTGATTGTGTTGGTGACTTCGATACTGATACAAGTCGATAAAAGTGATGCACTGCGCACAAGCACAGCTTGGGCAGCAATCGGGCTGATAGTCGTGCGTGCTCGTTTGACCGGTGCGACTTCCGTCATCCCATCCTCATCCGACGTTTCCTTCTCCGCCCGTCAATCACCACGAACAACAAATGAACTGATGCCCTTCAAGTTCCTGCTCTATCCCCGTGCGCATTCTGCAAATGCTGGACATATCAGCACTATCTGTGTACATGACGGCATGTCCATGTTTGACCGCATCAGCCAAGGGCGCAGGGTCCGCAGCCAACGAGATCGCGCGCCCTTCGGAATCACTTCGATCACACGTGAATTTAAGCTACGTTTTTCATGGCTATATGCGGTGGCCTGAGGAACGTGAAGGTAGGGTGTTCGTAGAGTAGTCGGGCGCCGATATCGCATCATTGTGGTGTCTGTAGGTAAAATATATGGCAAGTTCTTTCACCAAAGACAGTTCGCACATCAATTCCTGTCTTCCTCTTCAAGAAGTCCATCTGAAGATAATGTGAGAGGTCTGCGCGCGGTAATTCCCGGGCTGAGTGCAGAGTCAACTGGTTTTCTTCGAGCTTCCGCCACCGCTTCACCTCTCGTCCGTCTCTGTGACAACCAGCGCTCACTTTAAACACCACGTCCACAGCTTAGCACCTCTGCTACCCGTCCCAGGCAATCCTTCGTCCTACTGCGATCTTACGACAACTATCCTGAAGGCCAATCCCATCATGCCTTCACTAAAGGACCTCAATTGCGCCATCGAGCTATCCGGGAGTCAACAAGCATTGCGAGAGTTCGGCACCATATACGGCGACGGCTTCGTAGAAACTTTCGTTCCCGTACCCAGCAAGCCACAGTCTTTCTCCATCCACCTCACTTCCAACAAGTTCATCGCTCCAGGCGTCGCCATCTTCGTCTACGTCGACGGTGTTTACCAGTGCAACCGCAATAGGCAGGACTTGAAGCTACGGAAGCCTTCCGATAGTCGCTCTCTTGTCGACTTTCGCGTAAGGCAGAAGGAAGAAAGACAAAAAGATGGATCGATGATTGCGAGGGAGTGGGCTTTTGATAAACTCAACATTGGTATGTGTTGCGAGGACTTCATAGAACCGCGGTCTTCTAACTATTCACAGCTTCAGCGGATGATGCACCGAACATTTGTTCGCCAAACATTCTCGACAACATAGGCTGCATCGAAGTCGTCGTTCTACGATGCGCCGGTACGCGCAATGCCAACTCTGCCTCAGCGATGAACTTTGATGGAGCAGGAGACTTCCCAGATCACCGGTTTGGCGTAGACGATAGCTCATCGCCATCTAACGAGAGGTCTATGTACGATGATAGAGGGCCATTCTTCAGCAACTTTGGCAATAGCCATGGTCCACCACCGCCTCTCCCGTCCTATCGCTCCCCATACGCCGAAACGGTACGTAGCCCGCAAGGCTCGACATCGAGAACTCATCGCACTACATACCAAGCTCAGGAGCTCTTCCCTCCGGCACCTATTTCGCACCACTCGCGGCCACATTCCAGATACTCAGAGCCTATCAGTCCGGGGGCGCGGCGCACCAACGACCTTCCTCCATCAGGTTTCCAGTACGGCAGCGGTCCTATCCCGCGTGACGGAGAACCATATAACACGCATCCTCCTCATGTCGGAGCGGTGCAACCTCCTACTGTGGATCCAATGTGGTTGAACAATCTTCTTACGACAGCAGTCAAGCAAGGAGTGGAAGAGTCGCGACGAATGGACACACAATCAGAAGGACAGGCGAAGTACAAGGAAACAAATCTTGATGCGAAGTCTGCACCACCAGGAGCGTGGCCTGAATCTCCTCTCGGTGCTCAAGCACAACCACATCAACACATAGAGCAGCCAGCTTTTTCCTCACGCGACCACCAGAGTGAGCACGGTTCAAACTGGGCAAAATCTCAGCCTGGCTGGGGCGAACGACCTCCACGAAGTAGAGCAGGGACCCATGTTACCTGGAACGCTGAGCCCGCTTTCGAGACCGACTCCTCCAGTGTCGGTGCATGGAACTCTCGGGAAGAGACCCCGTCCGACGCCTGGGACACTGGAGATACTTGGCCGACCGACAAGGCAGCTGAATGGGACGCCTCCAGTCAACAGGGAAGACTCTGGGTGACTAACCCTCCCAGTCACTATCATCTGAGGTCTAGCTCCCCAGTCACTCTTCCTAAACACGATCGACGGCGCTCGAAGCACGAAGCGAAACGGAGTTCACGTTCCAAATCGCGATCAAGACGTTCACGCCGAGATCGGGAAATCACTTCTTCAGAAGAAGACAGCGGGAGTTGGGATCGTCTCGAACGGCCTTCAGACTCTGTGGTCTCGCTGAGTAGCTCCGACGCTACTCTCCAACCATCGCGTTCTCGAAGCCGGGTACAGCCTTCACGACGAAGATCGAAGAGCCATTCTCGGCTTTCCAAGTCGGTACAGCGCGATCATGAGCGAAAGCCATCGAAGCATTCCCATCGTCACCCATCTTCGAGACCTGTGGATGCTGTCCCAGTCGCTGGGCCTGCACCTTCAGTCATCACACGAATGACACCGACGGTAATGAATGCGCCCCCTTCTGTTCCCACGGAACAAGTACAATCACGACAGCCCAGTGCTTACGCTGGCCCGCCTGCTTCTGCAATGCCTACTCCAGAGTGGGGCGCTGCTGTGCATGAGACGATAAGAAAGCCTAGTAATGTTCCGAGCAACATGTTCCCAGCCCCGTACGCACCATCGATGAAAGAATTTGTTCAGAGAACAGCTGGTGAGAAATTAGGAGAGAATCAGCCACCCTCGATTGCGTCTTGGGGTGACGATAGGAAAGATCACACTGTCAAGGCTTCTTGGGGCAAAGAACTTGAAAAGGATACCGGCTGGGGTAACAGCAGTGACAACGGTTGGCAAGATAAGAACCCAAAGCAGAGTGACAAGAAAGGCTGGTACTCAACCGACGACGACCAGGCCGGAGGCTGGAGCAAGACAGATGAAAATAAGAAGACTCAAGCGGACAGTGACTGGAATAGGAAAGACAACGGCTGGGACAACCCCCCATCCTCACCAAAACAAGAGCGAGTCGACAAGATGAACGACTGGGCCGGTCTCAAATCCGCCTTGACATCCGCTTTTGCCAACCCACCAGCCCCAGCACCAGCCCTAGCACCAGCACCAGAAGACGCCTGGCCTACCCAACCATGGAGTTTCCCCGCCGACAACGCCGTACAGCCTGTTATTCAACAGCCTGTGAGCACACCTGTTACCTCCGCCCCAGTACCACCTGTACCTGACAGGATTACTCCACCCAACCGACGCATGAGCAACAAAACGCTCTCAAGATACCGTCCCAATCACAACTTCCCCTCCCGCATCCATCCCAAACCCACACCAAACTTCACGGCTCAACCACACTGGCAGTTCCCTCCTCCATCCACGTCTACACCCAAGAACGTCCTGCGTACCACCTCCTCAGACTCCACATACATCGCCCCCGCAGAACCACGTCTCACCATCAGCAAATCCACGTCCAGCAAAAGCGGTATCAAACACGCCGTCCGCGCGGGTAAAGCAACGGAGTACGGTCACGTAGTTGGTCGACCGGAGTATCTAGATCGTTTGGAGAAGCCGTATGCGGTGTTTCGGTTCAAGTATCGGAGTGAGGGGGTGTTGAAGGGGTTGGGTGTACTTGGGGAGGGTGGTGTGGATGGCAGTAGTGGGGAGAAAGAGAAAGCAGAGAAGTTGAAGAGTGTGCCGCAGGAGGAGTTGATTGCGAAGATGTTGGCTTTGGAGAGGAAGTTGAAGGGTAAAGATGATGGGGAGGGTATTACTGGTGGTGGGAAGGAGAGGAAACACAGTAAGACTCACATCGATAAGGAGAAACAGAAGTCGAAGCAGAGGCGGTCGAGTGAGAAAACGGATGTGCGTGGCGATGGCCGGATCAAGAACTTTACAGAGCAGTGGGTGGAGCGGCATTCGAGAGATCCGAGTGTGAAGGCGAAGAGTGCGGTTGCTAAGGAGGTGGGTTGGGAGGGAGATAAGGAGAGGAAGGAGAAGGAAGTAGTGGGAACGTGGGGACAGGATGCGAATGAGGGATGGGGAGGTGGAGATGTGACATGGTAGGAACGACCCTAGGTGGTCGATCTTCGGATCGACAACAGGAGGACTGGATGTGTAAGTGTATTCTGTACGTATAGACATCGTTATACATAGACAAGACAACATCATTGTCAACTCTAGCTACTACCCCTCTCTCCCCACGATCAAAACTTAGCGAGTTCATCTTCACTCCCCTCCCCATCGACATCCACCCACCTCCGTTTCCTCACTTCCAAACCCCCTAGACATCTTCTCTTCGCCGCACTGTCCTTCGCTGGTGTACCCTTCCTTGTCCACTCCCTCTTTATCCGTTTGTGGAATGCTTTCCGATCGGCTTTCGATGTGGATTTGCTGCCTTTGTCGCTACTGCCGTCATCATTGCGGACTTTGGGTGTTCGGTAGGTGGTGAAGGGGACAGCAGTTCGTGGGGTGACTGGCTCGTGGGCACAGTTCAAGGATGGAGTTGTTGGGTTGGGTGGTGAAGGGAGGAGTTCGTCTTCGGTGGTGGTGCCGATAAGGTCGAGGGATGGGCTTTTCCGATGGGAAGAGATATGCGTATTTTGCGGATTCGGTAGTTGGATCGTGTCAGGCTTGATAGTTTCTGAGAGTCTGATGTTCATGTTGTGAGGGTTATGGTCGTTCTGGAGCTCGTCTTCGGTTTCTTGTGAATCGGGTATTACTTCGGCGAGTGGTGTTGCATGCTTTCGTGTTCGAAGTGTGGTTGGCGAAGAGAAGGCTGGCTCAGCTTTTATCGCTATGCAAGAAGATTCCCGGACTGGTGTTGCGATATCGTCTTGCGTCGGTAAGTCTACAAGCAAGTCGCTTTGTAGTGTATCCTCATCGATCAGATCCCTCGTCTCGATGGACGGCAGTATCACATCTCCTGATGTGTCTAAAAGTGTATTGTCGTCGTCGTGGTTTACCGGGAGTTGATCTTCGTCGGAATCATTGCCAGCAAGAGATAGCAGATCGCGGTCATCGTCATCATAATGCGTGCTCGACGAACGCAGATTCTGAACACCATCTTCTGTCGACCGGACAAGGCTCTGATGATAATCTTCATGCTCGGATGAACTTGGTGTCGGCAGATGGTGCGGCGGCTTTGATACAACGGGATGGTGTTCCTTGGAGATCTGACTCTCCTCAACAACGCGACCACCCGTAGGAGCTACAGCAGACTCTTGCAGGTGAAGATTCTGGTCCTTGATCAAATTCCAGCGGCTGTGAAGTGCAGCCATTGGCCATTCCTTCCACTTTTGTTGGCCGTCTTTGATGGCCGCCCATGGCACACCGTCTATTCTCTTGCGCTTGCTTATGTATACGTCGTCTTCCCGAGTGAAGTGATATTTCCTTGCAGTCCTGGGGACGCGCCTCTGGATTTCAACACGCGGACTAGTCCGACGAGGTCTCGTTGGTGAGCTCTCATCCGGTCTTGTACGGATTGAGGCGGCAGATCCTCCACCAGCGACTTTCATCGAGATATTTTCTGCATGCTGGTCTGTCTCTCTCGCTATTGGTGCTGTCGTATAGCCCGGGAGAGGACTCGATTGGGCGACTGGAACTCGGCGTGGTTGTACAGATAGAGGTGGAAAGAACCATTTCGGGTCCGTCGCAGGCGCTACCTTGTCATCCGTTGTTACTGGAGTAATCGGCGGGGGAGCAGCGTTCGCGAAGAGCATCGGGGCGTTCGGCAGTATGAAGCCGCTGACGGCTTGATGTATCGCTTGATTGATTGTCTGCAGTAGACTTGCATGAAAAGCGGTTTGTGCTTGCTGCCCCGCAGGTGTTTGTGGAAACTGAACATGGCGTAGGATGTCTGCGGTGGAATTCGGAGGATAGGGTGTTTGCGGAGTGCCAAAGTGCGGTATGGATGTTGATGGCAAGTCTGGTTGAGATATTGCAGGCTGGGGCGCATTGGTCTCGGTGGCTGCGGTCTTTTGTTTGCTCGTGTCTTGCTCGGGCGATCCAGCAGCCTTCGGCCTGCCCAGCTGCGGGGGTGCCAGTTCGTCTTCCGAATCTTCTCCCTCTCCTTCCTGCTCGTCCTCTTCATCATCCTCCAGATGGCTCCTAGATCCCATTACTACAGTTTCCAGTAGCGTCTTCTCTTTGCCATTGGCCCGACGCTTTATTCTTCGCAGATGGCCTCTATCCACAACCACCCTGTTTGTGTTGAAGTCGATCTCGTCGCTTTGGGATGGATTCATATTTCCAAACTTCTCAAATATCGACTCAAATCGGCTTTTGAGCTTCTGTTGTTGTTTCTGCTTGGCCTTGATGTATTCGGCATTGTCTTCGTCGACCTCGACTGAGTGCAGTATGCGCATGCGCTTTGCCGGCGGTTCCATGGCGCGTGTTGCCGCGCACTTTAGCAGCGAGCATGTGTCTCAACCAGCGTAAGGGCGGTGTAAAATAGGGGTCGGTGTGTGGGTGGTGGGCGTTTGCGTGTAAGACAGTTTCTGATTGCGATGCTATGATTGACGCGAACAGCGAGACGCGACGCGGTTTCCTCGGCAGGCACCCGACACTTAGCGGCAGCCCCACCCGCATGCAGGTGATCGCCAGTGAACCGCAACCGTCATTCCGTCAGCGCCTTGGAATAGACGACCTCTCTCCAAGCATGATGAACCACAGCTCATGACAACATGGCCATCGACAAGAAACAGACAGCCCTGGCCTGTCAGAAATGCCGCACGCCCATAGACATCGACGCCTCCATCGACCAGCTCAACCCGGCTGCCTTTAAGCTGTTGACTGGTACAGATCTATTCTGCATACTACCACGCATCAGACTAACATATTATAGACTCGACAGTATCAGGCCAACAGCCAGCATCACGCATATCCCCCAACCGCCAGTCGCGCCCTCCGAACCCGCCCGAACACCTCAAGACATATCAAGATGCAACCAAAGACGCCAGGAACCCGACCTTCAAGCGCAACATCCAAGGCGCACCGCCCTCAGGACCCTCAAATGGCCCTCAGAACCCCGCCATGTCCTTCATCGACGTACACATGTCCGAGTCGATGATAGACCCACCCTCTGCGGCTGTCCGTAGTCCCGATCGGAAATCACAAGCAGGCGAGACGAAGCCGAATGCGAATGACAAGACACGAAGGAAGAGCTTCTCAAATGGACTGGGCATACAGGGAGGTGCGAGTCTGTCCGATACACTGGAAACAACAAACCGCATGTTCGAGATACTATCAGCACGCTCCGACGTCGACCACCCCATATGCGTAGAATGTACCGAGCTGCTCATCGAGGGCCTGCAGAAGCGCCTAGGCGTCGCCACCCGCGAACGCGACGCATACGTCGACTACCTGCGCCGCGCCAACACCGACGTGCCCAGCGCCGAAGAAGTCAAAGCCGCCGAAGCCGCCCTCAAAGCAGCCAAGAAAGCCGAAAGCACCGCCATCACGCAGCTCGAGAGCCTCGAAGCCGAAAAGGCCGAACTAGACGCCCAGCTCGCCGCCCTAGAAGTCGAGAGTCGGATCCTCGACCAAGAAGAAAGCGAGTTCTGGAAGAGCAGAAACGCCTTCAACACCACCCTGACCACTATCCAAAATGACCGCGACGCTCTAGCCACGCGATACGCGCACGATGCGCAAATTCTGAATCAGCTACAAAGAAGAAGTGTATACAACGACACCTTCAACATAACCCACGACAACCACTTCGCCACCATCAACGGCCTCCGCCTCGGCCGCCTGCCAAACCCGTACGTCGACTGGCCCGAAATCAACGCTGCATGGGGTCAAACCTGCCTCCTCCTCGCCACACTAGCCGACCGACTAAACTACAAGTTCGACGGCTACGAACTCTGTCCCATGGGCTCTACATCCACCATCACGCGTATCGAAACCAAAGGCGGCACCGGAAACACAGTGTCTGAATCAACACGCCAACAACCTCAATCCACAAGCGCCAACTCACCCCAAGTAACAAGACAAAAACTCGAACTTTACTCCTCCGGCGACTTCCCTATTAACTTTGGGTTTCTACATAGAAAGTTCGATACGGCTATGGTGGCGTTTCTGGAATGTCTGCGGCAATTGGGCGAGTTTGTGGAGAACTCTGCTGCTGCGCCGTCGCACGTTGTAGGTGGTGTTGGTGCAGGTATAGCAGCGCCTGGAGGTGGGCCACCAGGAGGCGTCAAGATGCCGTATGAGATACAGAAAGATCGCATTCATGATCAGAGTATCAAGTTGGCGTTGAATAAGGATGAGGGATGGACGAAGGCGTGCAAGTATACGTTGACGTGTTGTAAGTATCTGCTTGCGCATGCGAATAACGTGGAGAGTTTGGGGGCGAGGCGGCGGTAGGGTAGTTGAGATTAAGTTTGGGGAATGTGTGGTTTGCTTGTTTGATTAGATACCCCGTTGATCATTTTTGTGTTTATAGAGTTGGCATACTCTCTCTGTTATGGTATTGGATGAGCATGAGAAGTGGCTATGTATTGGTATATTGATACGACAGTCTTGTGCGTCTACTCACTTTTTTGTGGGAACTAGGGAATGAGTATTCTGCGTCAAGTGCTCTCAACTTCCAATTACCCTCCCCGACGGTGCAACGTAAGTAGAATATCAATTTTCATAACTAGGCGATCACGTTCGAACTTAGAAGATGTATTTTTATTCAATATAGAGATTGGATAGTCAACTCGATCATCACAGGTCAAGCTACGATGGCTGCGTTGATGAATGTATTACTTTGTTTCATTTATCTCGTCGCGCAGATGTCTAAACAAGCGAACTATAGAGAGCGGAAGAAGAAAAACAAGAGAAACGTCTACATGATATCGCACTTTGCAGGCAATCCACACGGACCCTCCTTATCCTTCTCTTCCGGCCCCTTCTGCTGAGGCTGCGATGAAGAAGCAGCGGCAGGAGCAGATGTAGCAGCAGCAGGCGCAGCAGCAGTAGTACCGTTAGTCGTCGCTCCCGCTCCATTTACTCCCTCGACGCTCTTCTCACCCACAGCATCGCCAGCAGTCTTTCCGCCATCTAGTCACTGGTGGGCCTTAGCAACGGCCTCGTAGAAAGCCTTACCCTGAGCCTTGGCAATGTTAAGCTCAAGCTCAGAGGGCTGCCTGCTACCGTCACCAGCGGAGAAGGTACCAGCGCCCCAAGGGCTACCACCGTGAACCTCATCGAGGTTAGCAAGCATGCTGAACGCAGTCTTGTATCCGAGCGGCACGTAAATGAAACCGTGGTGCACAAGCGTGCTCATGCTGGTGATAGCAGTGGTCTCCTGGCCGCCACCGAGGGTACCGGTCGACACGAAGACACCGGCGTATTTGCCCCAGAAGGCGCCTTGTTGCCATTGCTTGCCGGTCTTGTCCCAGAAGGTCTTGAATTGTGCGGGGAAGTTGCCGTAGCGGGTGGGGATACCGAAGAGGATTCCGTCGAACTCCTCGAGGACGGCGGGGTCATCGAGAGTGGGGATCGAGGCGTCCTTGGGGGGTGCGTACATCTTGTCGAGGACGTCTTGGGGAAGGGTCTCGGCGACTCTGGGAGGGGGTTAGTCATGTTCTTTGAGTGAGATGGGGGATGGTGATGTGGCATGTGCAAGTGCAATTGCCAGCAGGAAGATTATAGTGTTCGAGATATGGAGAAGGGGATACATACTGGAAGAGCTTGGCGTCACCACCAGCCTCCTTGATACCCTCCAACTCAGCATCGGCCTATTCATCTGTTAGCAGAAGCCCTCATTCCAAGTCGTCAGTCGAGTGGGGAGCCGTTTCGCAACCAACAACAGCTCCCCATCTCAACACAATCGCAACATACCATCTTCTTGATGTGGCCGTACATGGAGTAGTAAACGATCGCGATCTTGGGAGCCATCTTGAATAACTTCCGAGGGGGTATCACAAAGAACGAGTAGAGTACGACGATGAGAGAGAGATGAGTATGTAGTGAAGAAGTAAAGAAGAGAGCTTTCGGGGTGGGGTACGCACCTTCTACTTATACCCAGCTCCAGCACCAGCACCACCGGGGGCTGGCATGTGCATGGTGCATGAGATAACCCAGACCCCTTGTCAAGAGTCTTCGATCCCCATAGACTGTGTCTGTCTCGCAATACATCATGCCATGGCTACTACATCATCCACCGGCCCAATCGCACCGAGCGAGCTTAGCTACCTAGCTGTCCTGTAAACAACTGCTTTGCGCCATTCTGCCCCTCATAGCGCTCCTCACTATACCTCTCTCAGTAAAGACCCGACGGTTAGCGCCCCACATATATACCCGGTGCAGTAGCGTCTGCGCGTTTCCGATGATTACATGAGCCTTTGGTAAGAGATTGTCAATTCGTTTTTTTTCTGTTTCGCTGGGGAAAGGTACGTTGTTGGTAAAATTCCTCCGGCTAACCTGCTGCATCGCGAGTCAATTGCAAAGGAACCCATCATCCCGGGCCCGGCAAGTACTTTTTCGCTGGGGCGGACATCTTCCGCGCTCCCGTGCCTCTTATTCAGCAGACAATCGGTCGGTGTTCGGCGTGTACGGGACTGAGACCTTACTCTAGGTTGGTAAGCTCCATCGCTCGGATAGAGAAAGAGGTTGGCTTCCGGCGTACATAACGGATGACCATGCGGTGTGTAAGCAGAAAGTGCGGAAAGCTGTACCTGGGCTTGTCTGCTTTGGGAGGGTGTGGGTGCGTGGACTGCAGGTGCGGGGTGTTGGTCTTTGATCGCCAAGGTGTGGAACCCGTTGGCAAAATTGGAGCTTTCGCGAAGTTTCTTATCAATCGTGTGTTGCTATTCTCGTGATCGGGAGTGGAAGCAAGTTTCCTTCTATCGAACATGCGCGAAAGACTATTTGCACAGATGATGAGCGATGAGACAGTTGTCAGATGAGTGTGAAACTTGATTCATTATACTGATTTGAAGGTTGAACGCTAAGATGCTAACAAACTGCAAGATGGAAAAAAGCAATAGACACCCCGCCATCCCAAGTGATCAATACGCAGTATTCGCTTTTTCGGAACATGGCCATGTTCTCGTTATGAATTTCCCCAAATGCATGAATACAATGTGGCTGCTTCAGCCTGGTATCTCTTTGGCTCCAGGCCTGTCGCTCATGCATGTGGTCGTAATTTCGTAAGTATAGGTTCGCAATGAAAAGTTTACAGTTGAAGTGAATTCGGCCGTTATCAGTGGGTTTATCCACAATCAGGTTTGGATGGAGAGGAGCCTCCTGCGGACGCCGGCTAGGAACTCGGCTTCGTCGATGCGCTGGAACTGCGCCTCCTCCTCTTTTCCGTAGAGGCCGGTGCTGCCGTAGGGTCCCTTGCCGCTGAACTCGACGTTCTGTGGCCAGTGCCCGTCTGACGAGATCTGCGCCAGCGAAAAGTCGCCATGGACGGACTGGAAGCCAGGCTCGAAGATGCACTCGGCGAAGAACAGCTCGACGTACAGTTCGCGAGGAATAGCACTCTGCGCGCGGAGGCGGACAAATCGACGGGCTTGCTCAAGAAGCTTCTGCAGGGCATCGGTAGCTTCGTGGGTGGAGCGACCGTCCTCGTGCTCACACAAGTGCAGAGCACGTACCTGCAGGTCACCTGCGAACTTCGCATTGTCGTTGGAAAAGAGATGGGAACACACGGAAGGAAGAGAGATGGACAGAGTCTCAAGCTTTGGACAGTTCCGGAACGTGTCGCAGAGATGCTCGCAGTCGCTCGGTGATCCCGGATGCGGGTGCCAGAAGCCATCCTGTGACCGCGGGCTGTGCTCAAGGACCCGGAGCGTCTTCCGAGATGCCTTGACAATGGCCATGACACCATCGATTGTGATGGAGGAATTGCAGGTCAAGTGGAACTCCTCCAGCTGAGTGGCCGTGCGAGCGATGGCGAAAAGATCATCGTCGGTGATGGGCATGAAGCTAGTGTCGCCAAAGATCTTCAGCCGCCGCAGCTGACTGAAGTTTACCGACTGCAGTGGTTCCAGATCAACGATGTTATCCTTGTCTGTTGCTTGCTGCGAAGTCGGGTCGACACATTGGAGTTCCAGCGACTGGAGTGGCTTGCCGGTACCAGTGAGCACAGTCCGCCATGCGTTGGCGTCCACGTGACGGATGGTGGTCCATGGGAGAGAGAGCGATGTGATGTTGGTGCAGTTCTTGAGGGACTGGAAGACCAGACGGTCGGTCTCGGCGGTGTAGAAGCCGTGCACCCACATGCGCTTGATCTTGGCAGCCACCTGTGGGTAGTCGTTGCAGATGCTCACAGTCCGCTTGAGAGAGGCGAAGGGGTCGCGGTAGACAGCTGTGCCAGTTGGACGGTCAATGAGCTCGTAGAGCGGGTAGCTCTCTCGCCTGTTGGATAGTTCGGCCCATCGCTATGCAACGTTAGCATAGTCCTCATTGTCAGGTGTGTCGATTTGCTTACCTCTCCGCCCTTCCAGCGACGGATGTAGACGTCCTTGATGGAGTGCTCCAGAGCCCACTCGTGCCACTTCCAGCATACCAATCGCAGAGTGGCAGTCGCGTCCCACTTGAGGAGCTCTGGCGGGACCGGGCCTCTCACATAGCGCTGGAGCTTGGCCCTCTCGAGAGGCAGTGGCGCCTGCTGGAGACCAAATGTATACGTGGGGCCATCACGTATATTGGCCTTGGTGACCTCCTCAAGGATCTGGGTGAGTACTTCGTAGGGGAAGTCGTTGATGTGCATTGAATGATTGACGGTGATGACGGTAGGGTGACTCGTTGTCTGGTGGTGTGAGAGCAGGTGAGGGATCCGTGGGTTTATGTATTAGGTGGCAAGGTCAGGCAGTTATTCCAGAGTGAAAGGCACTCCGGGACTCTTATAGTCATGCAGCACCTACCGCAGAGATTTATTTGGACAAAGGGCACCGTGGTTCATTGTTAGTCAGACGTCTTGTGTCTTCCCCAGGTCCATGCACAAGCGCCAACGACTCGGACGCTGGGCCGACATGGCTCTGAGCTAGAAGGATCACTTCACAGCCCAACCGAGCCAATAGGGCAGTAAGCAGCACGTCGCACGCGTATAGTTTTGCGATGGAAAGTGGTTGTGAGGTTAGGTTCTCTTTACGTCACGGTGGCTTGGCGGGCTCGGGTTTGCTGGGGCGGCGAAGCAAAGCAGAAAATTGGCTTCACGTGGCTCGTGGCTGGCGTTTCGATTACCCCCAGGAAATTCAATCCGCAGGCCACCTGACCACCAATGACACATGGAAATCTCTGACGAGACCCTCCGACCATCTTTCATCATCCCCGTGCCTGCATGGCGCCTCTCTGCTGGGTCCAACCTCCGTTGCTTCCATGCTGTCGCGTCGCGTCGCCTGGTCGTGATGCCGTACCCACGCCTCTTC